AGGAAGGCCCTCAGGGCCAGATTTGACCTGAGGCTTAGTTCACTACAGTCCCCCCTTTGGAAATCATCGCCTGTCCATGGGGATGAATTCTAACATGAACTTACGCCTTTGAATGTCCTTGAGCTTGATGTAATCCAGCAAGGAAAACAAAAGTCAAAGGAGGTAATCCCACAATGTTTTTGGTAATTCCATTGTGTTTATGGTAATTCCATAATGTTGATGGTAATTCCATTGTAGCAATGCTTTAACCCCTTGGAAACAAAGTCTGTAATCCATTGGAAAAAGTCATATAATCCACAACGATAAACCCACAACGAATGGAGGTGTTGATTGATCAGCATACAGAGGGGTTCCCTTGGATTGAACTGAAGATGCGGCCACTGGATGAAGATTGGAGACCAACGTCAGGATTGTAGGTCTCCTCCAGCGAAGGTCGTCTCTGGGCGACGTCCAGTCGGTGCCGTTCTGGTTCAATGTGTCATGCAATCATGTGGTTTAAGGTGGGCTTATGATGGGGATTTTACATAAGGCCTTAACCAATATGCACCTGGTGTGTCAGCTATTATGATTGGGAACAGCTACAGCTACCAGTTAAAGGGTGGAACATGCTGAAAAGGGTAACTATAGGGGTCTATACCTATAGAAGGGCATTCCAAACTATTTTTCCATTTCTAACTTGGTTTAAGTTAGCTTTACATGGTAAAATATAGTTTGGTTCAATTGTCTGTTGTCTTTTAGATGAACGACTTGAGATTGGGTGTTTGGTTTCCCCATAAATGTTTTTGGAAGTCTATGGCGAGACTCATCAAAAAGAATTAGCTATCCCCCCCGAATAAGATTGTTCGAGTAGGTTCGGCTTAAGCATTGTGAGACCAATGTAGATTATGGTACTTAAGGTAGCATTAATCTACATTGACTCCGCAAAGATTACATTTTAACAAATGAACTGCATGTTGGCATAGTTAAAGGCCTCTTAGTCTCTAACTTAACTACACACAAAATTCATTCTTGCTTGGGGTGTTCCGAAACAATACCAAAAACCAATTAAACAATGTCTCAACATCGACAAAACAGTGACTAAGCAACCAGTTAAACAACGTTTCAACATTGACAAAAGTAGTGATTAAGCAACTAGAAAACGACGTTTCGGTGCGTCACTCACTCTGAATGTCAGATTTGATCACGTTATCGCGTCTGGTAACATTACCCTAACTGGCGTCACCCCCCTTCGGTCATGGGAGACCGCGAACACGGGTGAGGACGTCGCTCCATGAGCTAAAGTTAGGTTGTCCTTGAGTAGTTTTAACTGTTTGCGCAACTGAAAGAGGACTTTAAGGTCTGGATTGGAATCCAGTTCGCCTTTCGATGGAGTGTATTTGTCTGGGTCAGTCAGATACAGTATCATCGAGTTAATTGTAGGATCCAACTTCTGACGTTGGATGATGTCTGGGTCAGTTGAAAATGACTTTTCATATTTTAAAAGAACTTGGCGAAGTTTGTCTCTTTCTTCATCAGATGTCAGAGCGTCGGCTTGGGCGACCACCTGTTCAATCTGTGATGAGACTGATAAGGGTTCTTGCTCTTTGGGGAGCTCCAACGAATCCCTTTCTGAGTCGTCGGACCTGTCTATGGGTAAGACACCATAGGTTTGAGGCCCTTGGTCGACGTCATCG